AAAATGAGGAGAGGACACTCTTAACGTGTGCCCTCACTATGTATAACGTGAATAAGAAAACAAAATAAAAATGAAAATCACTATTTTTCGCAGTCTATGGACTGCCGACTATTCTAGTATTCATAATCATTTGCATTCATTTTCAGGCTTTTGTATACAGACAAGGCGTCGGCGCTTAATAATTTATTTTATTCTGTATTCTTATAGCGTATAATAAAGAAAAACTGTATCTAAAATCTATGTATAGCTGATCTTCCACTATGATATCTCTTTTCTTTCTTCTCTTTCTTTCTTTCGGCGTATTTGTTTTGGAAAAATTATCATCTTTTGTGAGAATTGAGTACTGTCTCTAGGGGTGGCACTTTTTCGTTTCTTTCCCAAAGAAAAGAAAGGTAAAAACTGATTTTTCTTTTTTTGGGAAAGAAACGAAAACGTGCCACCCCTAATTGTCTCTTTTGTCAACTTCTCACCATGAACAAATGTCGTCTTTTTGAGAGATATGATCAGCTAGTCTACTTTCATGTCTTGTGCTCTTTCCCGTGGCTCTCCTCAATAGATATTATGGAACTTTTCTGTTTTACATACGCGTATACGTATTTAAAATATGATTCTACTTCATTTTCAGAGATTGTTTCTAGAAAGAGTCGTGTCACGATCTCATTTTGAAGAGATAAGAAGATATTGCTCTATATTACTGATTGTAGGAAGTTTTTAAGTTTGTAATGTGTTTGATTTGTTATACAAACTTAGTTAACTTGTTTAAAAAAATTTTGTTTTGTGAGTGAAATCGATGTATATGTGTATCATTATATCTGGCTTACCATAACACTTATCACATATTCAACAAAATGAGCAAGATCGAACACTGAAAATAACAGAGACGGATTGAAAGTTGTTCCACGAAAAAAAAGTCAGTAGGAATTAGCGAAATTTATGAGTTTCATCTGACACATGATATTTATTTTGTTTTTGTAAGATATGATTAAAATCAACGCCTTCTTCAGTATCCAAATATTGATGTATATATAGTTGCGACTATTTCTGGTACATGATTTACATATGAAAACAACGACTTCATTTTTAACATGATGAACTATTGCTATTTGTATTAGATGATACCTATATATATCTATTCTGTAAAAATTTTTTACTTGAAATTCATTGAAATTAAATTCATGCATAGACAACAGGACTAGTAAAAGAAGACACGTCCCCGAACGGTTTCACCATCGAACGTTGTTATAGCGATAATTGAATATGAAAATAATTGAATAAATTATGATATGTGATTTTAGTGGGTTGAATAATGACCCGCACGTACTGTTTCTAAATAATCCCAGGAGTAAAAAAATTGGCAAAAACATGCGTGTTTTTTTCGTTTTAAACGACCTAAAAGAGCGCTAAATGTTTCAAAACCAACGCTTGCTTTTTATCGTTTAAACGTGTTTTTCTTTCTCTATTCGTTTGAAAAGGCGTTTTTCGAAGTTTCGCAACTCGTTACTTTTGCGTTAAAAGCGTACAAAAAACGCATTTTCAAACATTCTAGAACGCGTTTCAGATGAAACATTTAACACGTTTTTTGATCGTTAAAAACGGAATAAAAACGCGTGAGAACAGAAAATTTTGGTAAAGCCAAAGGTGAGATTTGGCTATCCAATGGGACTTGATCTAAAAAAATAGTTGAAAGTCTATAATAAAGGAAGTACAAAACTGATGATCTAAAACCGAAAAAGAACGAAAAGAAAATGATATTTCTTCGATATTTCAGTTGTGCTTATATACTTGGCTGATCGTAAAACAAGACTGTGAATGCCCAGAAGTAAAAAAGTTACAAAAAAACGCGTTTTTCGGAATTAGCAAACGCTCATTAAAAGAGCCGTTTAAACGCGTTTTTGTCGTTCAGAAGTTTAGAATAACGCGTTTGCTAACGATCGTTAAATTAACCGTTATCTGACGTTTTTGTTGAACGCGTTTTCTAACGACGTTAAAATGATATGACTTCGAATTTTTTTCTTTTTGTAAATGCGTTTAGAAACGACACGCGAAAACGCCTTTTTATATAAAATAAACGCGTTTCAACGGTCATTTTAACGTCGTTAGAAACGCGTTCAACGAAACCGCCAGAAAACGGTTAATTTAACGATCGTTCACTAACGCGTTCGAAAAAAGCGCGTTTTTTGTGACGTTTCTAACGACTTTTTTCTCGCCTGGGATTGTACTTTTCCAATATTTCAAATACATTTGGATTTATTTCACTTTGCATTTTTATTCTAACTTCATTAAAATCAATTATACTTACTGCTTAGCATAAAAATCAGATTAAAGCAGCTCTTTTAACGTATCCGTACAATATTCTTCAGTCGTCTAATATTGAAACCTGGCTTATTCTTCTATTGGAGGCTTCCATATCCACGGATGAGACAACGTTAGTCTGGTCATCAACCGGGATTTCATATACACCGCCAAGCACCAAATAAGGACGATAGGGAAAAGCATGCAGATCTTCCATGGTTGTTACGCCTGACAAGACAAGTACAGGATCAATTTCAGAATTGATACCAGCAACAATACTAAAAGAAAATAGATCCTGTCAATCGAATCAGTGTGCAACTCAAAAATGAATGTCTCTCTTCCCATATTTACTTACTCTGTATCCATTCTGTCACCAATAATACAAGTTTCGAGTCTGTTCAAACCAAGAGTACGCTGGGCATATCGCATGATGAGAGCGCTAGGCTTTCCACAAAAGAAAGCCTTAGTCTTGGTGACAAGCTCAACACAAGCAGCAAATGCCCCACAGGCAGGAATAATTTCACTATTTGAGTTGAGTCCCTCGGTATCCAGATTAGTAGCAATTAATTTTGCACCTTTATTGACTAGACTAACAGCTTTGCAAAGCTTTTCATAGTTGTAGGATGGACCTTCGCCTAACACCACATAATCAGGATCAACATCGTTCATCTGAAAGCCTTTCTCGTAAAGAGCATAAGTCAAACCAGGTTCACCAATAACATAAGCACTACCACCCTCTGGCATTTGTGTGGATAAAAATTCCGCAGTGGCTAAAGCGGCGGTGTAAAAATGATTCTCGTTGACATTAATGCCGAGACGAACGAGTTTTTGCTGCAGCTCACGAGGTGTTGGGGCAGAGTTGTTCGTGAGAAACAGATACTTTTTGTTGTTCTTTTCAAGAAATTCCACAAACTCCTTGGCACCAGGCAATAGGTTGACACCCTAACGAGTAAAAAGATAAAAAACAGAAATGGGTTTCAGAAACACGAGAATGAAAAATCTGCATTCTTTAAGAATTAAATGACTTACATGATAAATGACTCCATCCATATCGATAATAAAACCCTTCTTGCTTCGGATCTTATTCAGTCTATCAGTATGAAGGACTTCATCGTCGAGTAACGCAAAGTCTTTGAGAATAGAAGCAGATGGCTTGTGAGCATGGCTATCATATTCTGAGCTGCCGAAGTTTTTGAAAGAAATGGGTATAGGTGTTCTACCATCATTAGGAGTATGATCCAAAGTGTGTTGGTTCATATTTGAGATTACAAGGGAAGAATACAGATAACTTTGAGAACAAAGCGATTTATGAAAAAAGCAAATAGAAAATATCTAAAATAAATTTAAAATAGAAAGAATTGATTCCCAACATAGTTTTTCTTCTTGAATTTTCTCTCCTGGCAAGTAACCCATAACCTTCAAATTTTTAGACTTTTAGTCATTTCGGTATTTCCCCATGAAAGAGTACATAATTCTGCACAACTCCAAGCAAACAACTAAGTGATTGGCTGCTTACTAGCTGAACTACAGACTTAAAACGGGATAGGACACAGTTTTTCACTTTTCGATGAGCACAAATTCCATCGAAATTTTCACAGAAACAAAAAAAGATTAAGCAAAACTAAGACTGCAGATAGATAAAGCAAATAAAATACTGCATAAGACCAAAAATAAATGTTGCTTCGCCTAGGGAGAAACAGCAGATTTTGTGACTTTCGTAATCTGTACTCCATTCCACAGCCAATCAATTTTTTTCAAATTTTGTTGTACTCCTGGAGACTCCTTGGTATTCTGCGTGACTTCACTGAGCCCGAACAATTTTTCTAACTGTTTTTGAATTTTCCCGCATTTTTTCCGCTTAGCTCCATTTTCAGTCACTTTTAAAGATTTTGGAGACTTAATCGGATTCTAATTCCGTTTTCTAATTTTTCTTGTACTCCCAGGGATTCCTCGAGTTTCTCGAACTTTGGGAAGTTTGTATAGGATTTTTCAGGCTTCAGTAAGTCTGAGAGTCCTCAGCTACTTAGAATTCTGCTGTTTCCCCCTTGCGTTTCGCCCACCTTAAAAGAAGAAAAATGCAAATTAAGAAAAAAGAACGTGCAGGAACCATTAAGAAAAGAAAGAAAAAAGAACCGAAATGTTTTGCTTACTGTGAACTAAGGGACTACGATAGAGAAAAGATCTTAGCAATATATACAGAGTAAGTGTCCGCAATGAAATGGCATAAGTTTCCAAAAGTCCGGCTTAATATTAACGGATAACCGGGCAGGCAAGGTCTATAAGCCGAGGTAGAACGGTACAAAATCACTCGTTTACTGATTCGACTGGTTTTAGAACCAGCATCAGGCTAAATCATGTTATCGTACCCATCATGTGCTCGCATAATTCTATTCATCTTGCCTTCTCGCTTCAGTTGGCTGTCCACAGCATATAGATCTAATTATAGCAATCATAATCATAATCTTCGTGTCAGCTGACATAATCGGTAGTTATTAGCTCTCGATCTCACCATTCAAGGGATTCTAGAAAATCAAGAATGTCTGGAAAACCAGTAAACATTTTTCGGGTTTTTCAGAATCTTCGATCTCTAGAAAACTAACGAAGACCTAAATCAAAAAAATCGGGTCCCAGCACCTCACGCAGTTAGGCGTCTAGTTTAAAATAAAACCAACCCGAGATCTCTAGCTTGAAGTATATTTAGAAAAAGGGTTCCACACTGGGCATGTTGTTTAAGAAAAACGCTAAAGTAGAACAGCCGTGGGTGTTATTTGAATAACTTTTGATAGAAAGCGGCCAGAGAGCTCCGATTTTTTTCATGCAAAAGAAGAGACTTGTGGACATGTTTCCACAACCATAATTATTTTCTGAAGAGTTTTCTGAAACAGGTTTTCTAGGAGATCTTTGAAAAACCAGGTTATGTGTACAAATTTTCGAATAGGATTGTATTGATTTCTCCCATGGGCTGATAGCCCGGGATCTCCTCTTGAAGACGGGAGTCAAACGGTACCTTGATTTTCCACGGCTTGGGCGCTGTGTCGGATTTTCTACAAGTCCCAGGACTAGCACCTGGTGACTGTTGGTAGCCTTGAGAACGAATGGACTATGGGTAATCAATCATGCTGAGTCTCGTGGCAATATTTGCTTTTAGAAAAAGTTCTTAGAAACTAG